AGCATTTGTGAGCAAGAACACATACAATTTAAAGTTGAGTTATGATACAGTGGTTAAAGCATCATGAGAGTGCAGATAATATACGGGTCTGATTACCCTAGTAAAAAAAGTATTACAAGATACAACTTGCATCTGTTATTTTACATCTGCATCACCTGACTTCTCTGGCTACAATCTCTACTTCAGCACTAAATATGTATATATATATATATATAGTGAGGGGAAAGGTATTTGATCCCCTGCTGATTTTGAACGCTTGTCCACTGACAAAGAAATGATCAGTTTATAATTTTAATGGTAGGTGTATTTTAACAGTGAGAGACAGAATAACAAAAAAAAAAAAATCCAGAAAAACGCATGTCAAAAAAGTTATAAACTGATTTGTGTGTCAATGAGTGAAATAAGCATTTAACCCCTTCAACTTAGTACTTCGTGGCTAAACCCTTGTTGGCAATCACAGAGGTCAGACGTTTCTTGTAGTTGGCCACCAGGTTTGAGACACATCTCAGGAGGGATTTTGTCCCACTCCTCTTTGCAGATCCTCTCCAAGTCATTAAGGTTTTGAGGCTGACATTTGACAACTCAAACCTTCAACTCCCATCACAGATTTTCTATGGGATTAAGGTCTGGAGACTGGCTAGGCCACTCCAGGACCTTAATGTGCTTCTTGAGCCACTCCTTTGTTGCATTGGCTGTGTGTTTTGGGTCATTGTTAAGCTGGACTACCCATCCACGACCCATTTTCAATGCCCTGGCTGAGGGAAGGAGGTTCTCACCCAAGATTTGATGGTACATGGCCCCCTCCATTGTCCCTTTGATGCGGTGTTGGAACTATGAGTTGAAATGTCATTTAGATTCTGCAGTGTCCTACTCTATATTCTTTGCAACAGTGTTAAGCAATAAGTCAAGCTCGTGCTCTGAAGGTTATGTACTTTAGTGTAAAGGAACTTTAGCAACTTCAAAATATAGAGTAAAATGTTTCACAAACAAGTCACAAGATTTTGTTTGAGCCAAGATATTGTCTTCATTAAATACCCGTTGCAGTAATACTTTCTATCCCACGCAGTTAACTTCTGAATTCCAACTGAACTGCGACTGAAATTAAATATATCTTGGTCTCTTGTGTATGAATGTATATGTTATGTTGGAAATATATAATGGGGTGAGAAGATGTTTCTTCTGCGTCCCTGTACAAATATGAAGCATCTCTGTGAGCGAAATAAATTGGGCCAAATTAAATAAAGACAATGATCTGGCAATCTTACCTGCAGAAATTTACTACGGCATCCTTGAATATTTATAAGCCCATGAGTATACTCATTTTTAAATTAGTTTATGTGTAGCAAAGAGCTCATTACTGCCATACACAATGTAGCAAAACACAAACCTAATCTATCAGGTTATAGAAATGCCCCCTTTCCACCTTGATTACATACATTCTAGTGTTGGAACATGTGCTATAAATTAAAGAAAAAATGTTACTTCCACCTTATTACTAACTAAAAGTTAACTGCTAGCTGTGATGAATTAAAAAAAAACAAAAACAGCTTTGTGTTTTGTTTCATTTTCATTTACACGCTTTGCCTTGTAAAGACAGGCATAACATGTACGTGAATGCACTATACACAAGGCATTTCTCCGTTATATGCCTACAGTCTCATTTAATGGCAAAGTCACTGCAACGTGGAAGCTTTTTATTTACTTCTGATGCGTTATTCACTCTGGTAAATGCTGACATGCAGTGTTTATTGGGACAAGGGACAAGAAAGTATCACTTCTGTGGAGGTGGCAGTTCATCAAGGTATCTTATTGAGATAGGGGTTTCAGCTGGGTGACAAGCATGTCTATCTAGCCCCAACCTACAGGACCATGAAGAGCATTGCAGAAGCATGGTCCAAGTGCCTATTCATAACATGAGCGCATCTAACGATATACTCTTATTGTTAGGTCTGAAAATAATTCCCTGGTGTCCCCAGATGTAGGACACCAGGTAACAAAATTGGGACAGCGATACAGGACCCTGAAGTTGGAACTGGTGCGACTTTGTCTGTCAGTCATAGGGTCAAGATCACATATGTTACAACCCGGCCAGAATCTACAAACAAGGTGCAACTGACAAATTAAAGTAAGCTACTAAAACTACAACTGAAAAGTTCTCATTGCATACCATAACCACTTCTACATGGCCAAGTACGCTATTAACCCTATAATACATAATACATAAATAAAAGGGGTTTTATAAATCCCCTGTATATTATTATTTACTGACATATAATTAAAGGGTTATGAAAGACTTGCAAATTATATTACCTTAAAGAATACTGATCCAAAGCTTATATAAACATAAAAAAATGTTTTTTTTGTTTTTTTAATAAAAGAACAATAAAGAATGAACTTGAAGTGAATCTAATGTTTTCAATCATTAGCACGAACAACTGAGTTCTAAAACGGTTCAGTTTGTATGAGACTAGAGAGATAATAGTTCCATGTCTAGCTGTGTGCCCTTAAATGACAGCATGAACATATTCTTTTTTTGTAAGAGATGATGCCAGTTGCTTTCGCTCTGATTGGGGAAAAATTGCTTCCCATTAAAATACATTTCACAGTGTTTCGAGCTGATTCTGTCCTGTGCGGGACTTCTTTAAACTTGGTGAAAGAAACATAAAAGAGAATTGTTTATCTTACAATGAACTGAGTATAAAACCACACGTCCATGCTGTTTGCAACTAAAGGATATCGGAGGAGGTGCTGCCATGTGGTTAAAGTATCGTACAGTGACATAAATGTGGTGGAGTTCTTTATAATGATACATTTTGTACAGCGTGGTACTTTACTTTGTGTGTGGCTTAAACTGAAAGCTATAAGAATAAGATCATAAACTGACATGTTAACAAATTGTGAAAAAAAAAAAAAAATATATATATATATATATATATATATATAAAACATACAAGATCCAGCACACTCACTCATTCACTAAACATTTCAAAGGAATTTTCAATCTAATAGTTTTTCTAATTACACCTTACCAAGGCAAAAAAAGGAGGTTTAGTTACATCATATGATCATACATTGCATAAGCCTGCCACAACATAAATGTACCCATTTTTGACAGTATATATATTTATAAATTGTAACGCTCACTCTTCTCTGTTGCCAAAAGTTAAAGAAAAACAGGCACTGTTAAAAGCTCATTAATATGAAAATAAACATAAAAACCTATAATAAAGGTTGCATATACCATACAACTGCCAAACACTAATATCTTGCCCGTATATAGAAAGGATGTGGATTGTTAACTTCATAACAAATGCACATGAAATTTGTAATCCAATGCCCCGGGGGGCTTACATTGAAATATAAAATGTTGGCAATTTTCGCAAAATCAAATTATATGGCAATGCTCTTTGCAATATGGCCATATTTCAGTTTTTTTGAGTTTTGACACAGCAGTATTGTTTGCCCTTTCTACGCTGAAAGGGCTAAAGGGACTGTATCCATTTTTGAAGTATATCGTATGGGGCCCCTTTAATGACTGCCTCCTCTTCACTCCTGTGTGGCAGTGATAGGAGAAAGTGATGTCCGATCACTTCCTTTTACTGCTCTCTAATTAGGGCCGGTGCAAGGATATTTGCTATAGAGTTGCTATATTAAAAATATATATTGAAAAAAAAGAAAAAGTAACTATGGTTAGCAGACAGATTTCAGGAACAAGCAAGTTACTCTATGTAAATGATCATACAACCTAGGGAAGTGGAATATAAAAACACAAGAGTTTAAGTGCAAAATCTCTAGATGAGATGAAAGATTGGCTGGTAGAACATGTTCATTTAATTAAACACACGTAAAAATGATATTATGTGTGTGGGAAAGCTGCGAGAGTGGAAAGGTGAGAGAGTGAATTGGACTGTGGAACCACAGGTTATACAAGGTGAGACAGGGCAGACTGGTATAGAGTGATGAATTACCCAGTAAGTTGATCATGATTAATTAAACTTCATTTAATCTACTGAAAACTTGACTCCTGACATGCAAGAAAGATGTATTGCGGAAATTGTCAAAAATAAATTTTGGGGGAAAGTGAATAATTTATCATTCCTTGCTGCTATGCTTACACAAGGTGTTTTTTAACTCATTGTGCTGGTCGATCAAATTCAATATATTTGATTAAAACTCTTCTTAGACATTCAGCAGCCACGACAGAAGAAATCTACAAAGAAACCTCTGTCATAGTGAAAAATGGTTACAGTGCAGGAATGAAAACTGCATAGAACATAGAGCGGCAAATGACATGTGAAAAAGTAGACAGATGGAAGTACAAAAAGATTAAGACAGCAGGAAATGTGCATATAAGGCAAAATATAACACACAGGAGGGCAATAACCATAAAAATTGTATGACTCAAGGATCGTTTTAATCACGGAGATTGAAAAAATTGTTAAGCCATTACAATGCTTTATAGATACAGTAATATACCTTGCGAACATGTGTTGTTTACTTATTTCTCCAAATTCTTACATTTTGAACGCTCATAAGCCTTGAACAATACAATGTACAATACTTTGCTCTTATGACTTAAGGCCATTATGTGTAGCAAACAGCTGGCTCGGCAGTATAGAAACCGTACGCATGACAGATTAGTCGCTGCTAATGAAGAATGGGATAAAGAAAATGTTCAAGCATGAAATATTTTTAGATTTAAAGGTGGTATTTAATTTTTGAATTATTATAATTTTTTTTGAACACAACGGGATATGTTTAAAGAAATCTGACTTGTAACTACGTTAAATCCAAATGGTAAAATGTAGGACAATAGCTGACTCGAAGAAATTCATCAACTCACCAAGCTTACAGTTTGTTTAGTTTTGCCTACTTTTGCCATTTATATTTCAATTTGTTATACTTCAAAAATTTAATTTGTTATAGTAATATCCATAGTATATTTTAGATACAAAGTGCCAGGATCTAGTGATGTCCCGAACTGTTTGCCGAACTCCAGTCAGCAGACACATTCCAGCCAATCAGCAGCAGACCCTCCCTCCCTCCCAGACCTTCCCACCTCCTGGACAGCATCCATTTTGAAGCTGCATTCTTAGTGAGCTGTCCAGGAGCTGGGAGGGTCTGGGAGGGAGGGTCTGCTGCTGATTGGCTGGAATGTGTCTGCTCACTGAAGTCCACGGCGAACCGTTCATGGTGAACCGCAGCAAACCATTTGGCGAACAGTTCAGGACATCACTACCAGGATCCTATCCTGACAAGCAGGAACATGTTTCCTTATCTTCTGTTAATATTTCATGCCTCACTTGTTTCTCGCCTCTAGATGCCTCCCTAGCCACTAGTCTCCTCAATCACCTTATCATCCTCACCTGCCTGGACTAATGAAGATGCTTCATAAGGCTACACCCTGCTCACAACAGGGCCTTTACATTGAAGTTGGTGATTTGCCTGAAAGACTTCAGGAGTTCCTGGCTCCTGTGAACCTGCACAGGAGTTCCAGGCTCCTGTGAACCTGCTCCAGACTTACCCTCAACCCTGCTCCATACCAACCTGCTCCAGACTTACCTTCAAACCTGCTCCACTGTTACATATGATTTTGACCTCTGCTTCTGTTACCAGCCTTCCTCTGATACCAGCCTGCCTCTATAACCAGCCTGCCTTTGATACCAACCTGCCTTTGTTTCAACCCTACATGGAGATCACAGACTTTCTTTATTACTTGCAAGTAACCTGTTCTGTGGCAAGTATCCTGTTTTGTGGCATATTGCCTAAAGTCTGTTTTCCCTCAAGTTTCCTAATATGTCAAAAAACACTAATAAAGTACCTGAAGTCAACTCTGGCATAAGTCTCCTATCTGACCTGCACAAGATCATGACACAAAGTTAGAAATAAATAGTCTAAAAAACTGGCTTCCAACTAAAACGTAATCTATAAATTACATTCATAGAATTAGCCAGAAATGCCTCGATTAAATGCTACTCTTGCCTACAATCTGTGTTCAGGAGTGCTCTGTATCATTTCATAATGTCTGAGTAAACTTGAACCCTTGATGAGCACTACGCATCTTTATTAAATGGCTAAGCCCTAAGCCTGCATCGATAAGTATTCCCCACGTAATAGTCCAATTTTTTCAACAATTTGACAGGTATCTAGGCACCCACAGTCAGTCTCCTCTTCAAAAATCACTAATGGAGAAAAAAATATACACACCCCCAAAATACCAGTGTATGTAAAACCGAGATAGTTGATGAAAAGGTATTAACCTCTTTAAAGGACCACTCTAGGCACCCAGACCACTTCATCTTAATTAAGTGGTCTGGGTGCCAGGTCCTTCTAGGGTTAACCCATTTTTTCATAATTATAGCAGTTTCAGAGAAACTGCTATAATTATGAATGGGTTAAGCCTTCCCCCTAATCCTCTAGTGGCTGTCTCATTGACAGCCACTAAAGGCGCTTGCGTCTTCTCACTGTGAAAATCACAGTGAGAGCAACATCAGCGTCCAATAAAAGCATTGTAAATGCTTTCCTATGAGACCGGCTGAATGCGCGCGCAGCTCTTGCTGCGCGTGCGCATTCAGCCGGCGGGGCCTAACGGAGGCGGAGAGGAGGAGGAGAGCTCTCCGCCCAGCGCTGGAAAAAGGTAAGTTATTACCCCTTTCCCCCTTCCAGAGCCGGGCGGGAGGGGGTCCCTCAGGGCACTATAGTGCCAGGAAAACGAGTATGTTTTCCTGGCACTATAGTGGTCCTTTAACACCGTTACACTCTAGATATTTAGAACTCCTCAATATTCCATTAGACAAAACTTCATAACACAATAGTATAGTGGTTGCCCTCTCAAGTTGCCAATATTAATAGGCACTTCAAAGACTAGATGATTCCACCTATGATATCTTAAGCTCTCACATTCAGAGATGCCAAAGGAAAGAAAAACACAAACTATGGTGCAGTATGTCTACAGTGCCAGCTGTTTTTAGACATACTGCACCATAGTTTGTGTTTTTCTTGTCATTATGTGGACGTTTGAAATCCCACCTACCGCTAATTATATTAAATCTTTCCGTAGGTAGGCCCACTTTATTCAGGTCTATCTGTTTGCCGGTTTTTGGCAAACTAAAACCGACTTGCCTTTTGTAGTACGGTTCATATCTTGTTACTTGCTTTCAGCCTTGGTCCCGATTACAAATATATGGGCATTAAATAAATATGTGCAGGGGGAGGGTATTTTAATTGTGAATTCCTACACTACCATTTCATATTTGTATGATGTTGCACTATAAAAATATTATATGGAGATTGGCTACAATGAAATATAGGAATGGCATTCTTAATACATGCTGAGGCATACTTCATTAAATAATGATTCTGTGTGGCTGGATACAGCTGCAGGTCATGTTCTTGCACTTATTTTATGAGTTCCAAAATTCTGATGGCAGCAGCATGACTTTAAAACGGATACTTTTTATTCAGTGCATGTCAATAGAAGTCGCATCAAGTGATTTCTGCCACAATCCAATGCTAAAATATCACTTAACTGGAGATATAAGCTACATCTGTACAGTAGATGCAGAGTTGATAAAGGTGAAGGAGACATCAGAGAAAAAAACAAGAATACCATCTGGATGAGACTTGAATGTGTCAAGTAATGTCTAGAGAGACATTCGGGGAAAAAAGGAACAAAAATAAAAGCAGAAAATAATTAAATAAATATTTAATAACTTTCACGTCTGAAACTTTTACAAAATTTCCTTTACAAAATTGTTTTCTAGCAGGTAGAAAATATATCTATAGTGAGCTTTCTATATTAGAATTTTTTTTTTACATTTTTTTCAAATTATTTTTTAGTTGTATAACTTTTAATAGGAATGTTGTATAAAAATATATATTTTCACTGAATAAAAAATAAGTTTGTTTTGATTATTTTTTTTTATTGAGAAAATACATCTGTTAGAGATCACTAATGTATAACAAGATACCTTCGAACAACTAAATCGAAAATTATAAAAAATTATGTTATCGTCATTATCACAAATACAGCTTAAGCGTCATTATAATGCAGGCGTCTTAGAACAATTTAAAATGATATTACTGTTAGGTGCTCTGTCATCAGACATGACCATTCCTATTCATTTACAAGACACGGTGTCATTAATGAACTAGCAGAAGTAAACAGTTAGATCGTGAAGTTAAAACACCCTTAATTATGTTATTATGTTCTGTTTTTCTAAAAAAGCAGGAAAGAAAGCTCTATCCAATAGTTTTTTTTGGCAATTTTGCTAATGTATCAAACAATTTCAGATATGTCCGCAATAAACAATGAGGTTAAATATTACATGTTATGTAAAGATAATTGTTTAATTAATTCACTTGAATGGCCACAAATTATTATATCTCAAAATGAGGGTTCTTTTTTGCTATGTGTGAGAAATTAGAGCTCTGTGAAAGAAATTACATTTTAATTTTGACAAAAAGAGCCTATACAGAAGCAGTGTATTGCCAACAGGCCCAACACACAATATACCATTTTATAAAAGCACATTAAAGAATTAAAATCACTTTTAAAAATATCAAAACATAAATTTTAACAAAATTAAAACTTGAGTAATTATATTACTTCATGTAAATTCTGAAACTAATTTTACTTTGACTACAGACCTATTTACAATGAAATGATGCTTGAGAGTTTTATAACACTATTCCTAGCAGATTTTGACTTTGATGTATATCGTTATATTTCAGCCCAAAGCATTGTCTCCCCAACCTGCCCACTAACTATTCCCAACTTTCTTTATCGGTGAGAATGAAAGCTCCTTACTGTATTAGTGTGAAGAGATGACAAATGAACTTGACATCTATGGTATTAATATAATTTTATCATGTGCATTTGGTACAGTTTCATTGCTACATCCCCTCAGGTTGTCCCTTCGCAGGTGGTAGCTGTATTCCACAGGCTGATGGGCTTCAGAAGAATTTCACATTTGGCTCTGAATTTATCTAGTCTATTAGTTTCCAACCAAGACTAATACAATGTAAAACACAGTGCCTGAAGAAAGCACTGCTTCTTTAATCCCCTGTTTTCTGACATGTTTCTATCCTGTATTCAAAAAGTTTATTTCCTTTTGCTTTGTTTTTTTTTATAAGGTTGTTATCGCCTACCAACACACTCAAGGTACACAGAATTAACACTAAATTAATGTAATCCCCATTGCTCAGAAGAATATTCTTGAAGGGACACTCTAAGCTCCAAAACAACAACTTTTATAATTGTGTTAAACTAGGAATTTTTGGTGTATAAATCATGTCCCCGTAGTCTCACTGCTCAATTGCCTGCTATTTAGGAGTTTCAACACATTGTTTATGGATCCCTAACCACACCTGCCCTGGCTTAGACTCACATAGTCTACCTACATACTTCCTGAAAAAAATAGTATTTTTTTCTTTAGCTTCCTTTATAACAATTTCAGTTTAATTTAGAATTTTTGTTAATAGTCTGCTAGAGCCTGACGGAGCCTCCTCTGTGTGATTAAAGTTCTGTAGCAGAGTAAAAGATAAGAATGTCTGAAGTAAACACACAGTGCTATAAGTTCTGATTGAAAATAAAACTTGTTTATGTAGGCTGTGTCAGTCACAGCCAGGGAAGGGTGACAGGGTCTCTATAAACAAAAACAAAAGTGATCATATACAATGTCTCAAGTGGTAACACTAAAACTCTGTCAAAAACTAAATATTTAAGATCACCTATAACGTGTGTTATCGTTTTCATGTGATGTGTCTTTTCTTTTAAATTTCAATTAAAGATCCACTTTAAGCACCAAAACAACTTTAGCCTAATTTAGTATTTTTTTGTGTATAGATCATGCCCCTGCAGTTTCACTGCTCAAAATGCCATTTTGGAGTTAAATTACTTTAATTCTCAAGTTCTAGTTACACCTCCCTACATCTTCCTTCCTAAACACTTCCTGTAACTAGACATCCAATGATTAAACATCCTTTATTGCACATACTATTTCATTTAGAATTTCTTCTCTACTGCTCTGTTAATATCCTTCTAGACCCTGCAGGATCATCTTGTTGTTGATTAAAGTTTTATTTACAAAGCAGAATATAAAAACCTCTAAATCTAGTTAACATCTTATTAAAATGGGAAAATAAATTCATGCAAGCTGTGTGA